CGTGGAAAACAATTGAATAATGAGATAATTCAGTTGAAAGAAGATTTACAGGTTTAAATTAACAGAAAATCAAAATCTAATACAAATTTAAATATTTTTTTTTTTGGATATTTTTACTCATTTATTTTATTTTATTTTATTTTTGTTATAGGAAGATGAACCGGCAAATATTGCTGCATTGGAAGAAGCAATAAGAGTATGAAATTTTTAATTTTTGCATCTATGAATACGATGGTTGGTTAGTTTTAGATCTTAATATGAAATAAATGAATCATTTGCAGGAAGCCGAAATTGAGATAGAACAATATAAAAGAAATTATGCATCACTTCAAGAACAAAAAGTGCAACTAGATAATGAACAACTACCACTAGTTACTGAAATTGAAGAAGTGAGCAAACGGCTTAATGATATGTCAAACGAAGTAGATGTTCTTAATGTATGTGAACTATGTTCATATTAAATTCGTCTGGTACTATTGTGTAGTGTGTTTATTTACGTATATTTTCAACAGGAACAAATAGAAGAACAAGTGTCTATGCGCGTGACTTGTTCGAACCATAAGACGCATTGGGAAAGAAAATTGATACAAGAGCAACAAAAAATTAATGTTGTTGAGGAAGATGTTAGGAATAAGAAAGCTGTTCTGGAGGTAACTCTTGATACTATGGATTATATTCAAATTAAGGTTTAATTATAACTATTGCTTTATCTATTAATCATTTTATAGGATTGGACAAAGCAGGCTGAAGATTATTGTCCAGAACGTGTGGAAGTTACGAAACCAGCGAATGAATTAGATCGTGAGATCAAACAAATTCAAAATCGTTTACGAGAAAGAGAAAAGGAGTAAGTGATTTTTCTTTACGTTAAAATTTTGAAATTTTTTTTTTTTTTTTAGGGATTAACTTCTGCCCATCTGTATAGACACGGTTCAAGCCTTGAAGAAATTGCTTCTGATATGAAAGCAAAAGGTGATGCTTACCGACACGCAAAAACTGAAATTGGTCATATGGAAAATTTTATTAAAGTAAACAAGTTATAAATAATAATTGTTTGTCTTATGCTTTGTAAATGCTAACAACAATATAATTCTTCATAGGATCTCAAATCGGCTTTGCACTCACGTATGCAAAAATGGCGAAACTTTCGTACTTTCATATCTGTTCGGGCAAGGATTCACTTGACATATCAG